TTACTCACTTTGAGGTTCCTCCCCTCTGTGAAGTCCGAAGTCAGCTAAAGGGCTAATGATAACTATCAAAACGGGGTGTGCGATAGACTTACCTCCACGTGGTGCACCCTGGGCAACGTATATTCATACGGTAAAAAGTCTATTAACTGGCAGTTGACTTCTCACTTCGAACAACCAGAACACCCCACTGTATGTCATATTCGACTACTTTCACAGTACTCACCTCACCTTTTTCCTACCTTTGTGTCTGTCTCTTTTACAACTTTGAATCATTCTTCTGTTCTCCCTCCCCATCACCTCGACTGTTTTCTCTTTGATGTTCCTTCCCCTCTGTGAAGCCTGAAGTCAACTTAAGGGCTAATGATAACTATCATAATGCCTGCCATTTAAAATTAACAAACGCACCTCTGTTCGTGCAATAAATCGTTATATTAGAATGCCTCAATAATTTCAGCTAGATTAGCTGCTGCAGGCATACCAACTAGTTACTAGTGCATTAAATTGCAAACTTTTATGCTATCGAACTTTTAAAACGTCTTACAAATAAGAGTTAAAACCCTTCAGTGCATTTACTTTCATACACTCTCAATTTAGATCAAAACAGACACAAAGGTGAGACTCTGTGTGTTTTAAAATTTTCTCTAACTGCTTAGAGAATTTTCAATGTGCACAGAAGAACAAGTGATAAATACAGAACAGCGCGTCACGGCCTTTCACTCCTCTTAGTCGTTTACTGAAATCGTGTTGCCAGTGCCAAGTGCGCTAGGGCTCCGGTAAGCAGCATTACTTTTAAGGTAAGAAGTTAACTTCTCTAGCAATTCCCGGACTTAACCTAAACTTGAGCTTTGCTGCTATTACAGATAGAAGAATTTAAGCCACCTAATTTGTACTATAGCGTACCAATCTGCCCTCTAAAAATGCAGATAGCATTCATTAGCACATGCATTTAAAACTACGATGTGTTATAGAGAACATACATTACTAATATACGTGAGCATCGATTACTGTCAATCTTTTCCAACTTTCTATGCCTATGAGGGCTTGTGGAAAGAAATTGGTGTAAATTACAACCTATTAATCGCTAAATTATCTTTTAAAGAATATTTTAAAAGGCTCAAATGCGTATATGATGACAGATGGCCACAATTTTCATTTTTGTCCATGTATAAACGGAAAGATAATGACGGAGGATTCATTACGAAGATACCCTTATCTGATTACCGATTACGACCTTGAGTCCTACTTGTTACAATCATTAGCTAAGCAACTTCAATGCGTCAACTATAGATCAGCGCACGCCAGTGGCTTAGCAAGGCCATGGTTAAGCGCAGCCATTAAGGGCGAATTTAAATAAATATTAAAATTTTAACCGATAACTCTGAAGGAACAAGGAAAATTTTAGATATAGAAGCAGATAGTAAGATTATTACCTATTGTTAATTTACTTTGATTTAACCAAGGTTTAATAAGTAGTTCCCGCTTTGAGGTAAATTTATACAATTGAGAATTTTCAATGATATCAATGATAGGAAATAAGCCTTTTAAAGAATCAAAATACAGTTCGACTAATGCTAAAACTCAATGAGATTTGTTATCTTAGATTTTCACAATTTAATACAGATTACATTGGAACTTCAGTTTACTTGCTAGGACATGTGATGTGAGTATGTGGTGAACACGACGACAGTATGGCTGAAGTAAAGAAGCTTTTGCGTTATCGAATGTTGCGGACATGATGCCAATCACAGTAGGGATTAGAAGAGGTCACGAGCGCATGGACCTCTCAGCCAATCAGAAAATAAAAACCATGGCATGGTTGGTATACCCGAAATCATTAATAATGACTATGTTCCTTGCCAATTACACACAACAAAGAAAAAACACATTCCACGCCGCAAGTCTGTTTCCTCTACACCGCTGAGGGAGGATAGCTATTATCGGAAGCCATTTCAAACTGGGTTTAATTACTCTAGAGATTACTGAGCATAAGTCAAGGGTTATTAGTGTAGCAGTTCACTACGAGTATATCCCCATCAAGAAAAGGTGGTCAAAAAGTATATAGTTTCAAATTAATAAAATTTGAAATGATTTTTAAACGTGATGTTCGCTTTCACTATGAAAGAAAATGTAAACACTTGCGGTGCGGTAATAAATATAGCCCAAAGGGTAAATTGGTTTTATATAAATATGGCGAGGTTTTTATGTATTTCATTTTTTAATCGAGTTTTTGTAGCTTCAGCAATGTGCTCAAACACGTTCATCTTAGCAAGTGGATAGGAAAAAGGAAATAAGTAGTAGAAAAATCACAAATGCTACGCGTGAAATCCAGGAAAATTGAAAAAAATTGCAGGTGTCTCACGAAGCTAGCATAGCCATGAAATGGTCTTCCACTAAGATAATTTTTCACTGAATATGGTCAAGAACTTGAGCGAGCATTTGGAACATGAAAATAAAGAATATTATGAGGTACAACAGATACAAAATATTTCCTTTACTTTAGAAACAATTATAACTCATACATTTCATACGGAATAAAAAGTTATGGAAATGTAATTGATTCATCACAGTCTAAACTTTATAAATAAATGTTAAGTACAGACTCTCAGAAATATTTTTGAACCACTTATTGAAGACAATTGTTTCATGTGACATCTTTTGATTTAATATAATGCATTCAAAAGCAACCGAATTAGTTTAAGATTTATGGGCATAATTGGAAGGCATGTAAAGAAATGTAACCCACTTTCTGTGATAACGAATTCCCATTCGCAAATGATAACGCTAATTTTTGGAAATTATTTAAATTATTTTTTCAAAATACCTAAATAATTAAACTTTAAAAGCTTAATTGATAAAGTTTTATTGTTTATTTGATTGAAATAGTTTATGGACTCCAACATTCGTATGGCGGTTTTACTACCTTCGACTGATTACTGTTAGCAGGCGAGTCGTGTTCATTTAAAATTTTAACGCCCTACACTATTGGTAATAGGTTTTAACGAAGGTTTTAGTATTTCCCATTCTTAGTAAATTAATATTTTATAATGATTTTTTGTCACAGCTTTACCTAGCAATATTGCATTGTTTCGAATTCTTTGGAAGACAATATAGTATTATGTTATTATTAAAAAAGTTATGCTTAATTTATCGAGTCTTATGGTTCCATAACTTTAATTAGTCTAGAAATGGAGATACAGGCGATACATCAAAATTTGCATTGGGAACCTAATAATGTAGAGCAGCCTAATAACTATATATCAGATGATGACGATTTCGAAAGTGGAAATAGCACAGCAAAATTATACGAACGCTCTCGTATTAAGGCACTCGCAGGTGAGTCGACATTTGTCCAATAAATGCGTTTTTCCTAGACGAACGTGAAATCGTGCAAAAGAAAACCTTCACGAAATGGGTCAATTCACATTTAATGGTTTTGAACGAGCGAGTTGAAGATCTCTATCTTGATCTTCGTGATGGTAAACAACTGCTAAGGCTTCTCGAAATTCTCTCTGGGGAAAGACTTCCAAAGCCGACACGTGGCAAAATGCGTATTCATTGTCTTGAAAATGTCGATAAAGCTCTGAACTTCCTCTGTGACCAACATGTCCACCTGGAAAATGTTGGCGCACATGATATTGTGGATGGCAACCAGCGTCTAACTCTTGGTCTGATTTGGACTATTATACTTCGATTCCAGATTCAAGATATTATCGTCGAAGAGTACCAGACTAGTGAGACTAAATGCGCCAAGGATGCCCTTTTGTTGTGGTGTCAAATGAAAACTGCAGGTTATAACAATGTCAATGTTCGTAATTTCTCCACGTCATGGCGTGATGGTTTGGCTTTCAACGCTCTCATTCACAAACATCGTCCCGATCTTATTGATTATCCAAAATTGGTTAAGTCTAATGCTGCACAGAATCTGCAAAATGCATTCACAGTTGCTCATGAAAATCTTGGAGTGTCACCGCTCTTGGAAGCTAATGATGTTTGTGTGGAGCAACCCGATGAAAAATCCATAATCACTTATGTGGCTGCCTACTACCACTGCTTCAATAAGATGAAGGCTGATACAGTACACTCTAAACGTGTTGGTAAGGTCGTAAACCAAGCATTCGAATCCTCCCAACTTCTTGAAAAGTATGAAATGGCTACCTCGGATCTTCTTAACTGGATTCAAAAGACTATCGAACTCCTGAACGACCGTGTATTTGCAAACTCGCTGACTGATGTGCAACACCAGTTGGCAGGATTCAATACTTACCGCACTGTTGACAAACCACCAAAATTTGTTGAAAAAGGTGACTTGGAAGTGTTACTCTTTACCTTACAGAGTAAAATGCGAGCCAATAATCACAAGGTTTACACACCGCCTGAAGGTAAGCGCATCGCTGATATTAACCGTGCTTGGGAGAATTTGGAAAAGGCTGAACATGCACGTGAATTGGCCCTACGGGATGAACTCATTCGACAAGAGAAACTAGCCCAACTTGCCACCCGATTTGATCGCAAAGCTGGTATGCGTGAAGCCTGGTTGTCCGAGAACCAAAGACTTGTTGCCCAGTATAACTTCGGGTCAGATTTGGCAACTGTTGAAGCTGCCACTAAAAAACATGAAGCCATTGAAACAGATATTTCCGCTTATGCTGAACGTGTTAATGCTGTAGTGAGTGTAGCGGACGAGTTGCAACTTGAAAACTACTACGATAATGATCGTATTCAGATGCGTCGCGAAAATGTTCTTCAATTATGGAAGAACCTACTTGAACTGCTCCGTAAACGCCGCAGCTGCTTGAATTTGAGCCTCCAACTTCAGCGTGTCTTCCAAGAAATGTCGTACTTGCAGGACTGGATCGATGAAATTGGCAGCCGTCTTAAATCTGAGGACTATGGCAAACATCTCATGGGTGTTGATGACTTGCTGCAAAAGCACAAACTACTTGAAGCTGACATTAAGGTTCTTGACGATCGTTTGAATCAAGTGTTGGAGCAAGCGAAAGTATTCATTGACTGTAACTTCCCAGAGAATGTTGAGGGCTATCGTCCAATTGAACCAGAGGTTGTTCAAAAGAAAGGTGAAGATCTACGTGCAGCTTATGACCAACTCTGTGAATTAGCTTTTGCTAGACGTCGAGGGTTGGAGGACTCACGCAAAATGTGGCAATTCTTCTGGGATATGGATGATGAGAAGGAATGGATTAAAGAGAAGAGTCAACTTATGTCTAGCCCCGATTTGGGTCATGATCTCAGTTCTGTTGAACGCCTGCTTCGCAAACACCGTGCTCTGGAAGAGGAATGTCAGAACCGCCAGAATGTATTCAATAACGCTGTCAATATCGGTAATCAACTTATTGAAGAGGATAACCGTGGCAAGGAGGATATTCAACAACGTATTGATGAAATGCGCAAACTCTGGGATCAATTGGCTGATGCCACTGCTGATCGCAAGAAGCGTCTCCTTGAATCTCAGAGATTCTTCCAGCTCATTGCTGATTGTGATGATGCCAATGCATGGCTTCTAGATCAACAGCGTATTGCTAGTAATGAGGATGTTGGCGTCAAGATGTCAACTACGGAATCACTCATTAAAACCAACCAAGAGCTTACGGAGAATCTCGAAAACTATCGTGAAACCATTAATGGTCTTCATGATACGGCCGCTGAAGTCTCGGAGTACCGTGATTGCGATTCGAACATTATTAGCTCTCATCTTGGCACTGTTGATGATAACTATGCTAAGGCGATTGAAATGGCTAAACAGAGACAACAGCGTCTCTTGGACGCTCTCTCAATGTACAAACTCTTTGATGTCTCTGATACTGTTCGTACATGGATCACTGAAAAGAGGAAGCTTCTTACAACTCTCTGTCCCTCAGATGAAATTGAGGAGCTTGGTGTTATTCGACACAGGTTTGAGTGCTTTGAGAAGGAAATGACCAAGAACGCAGAAAAGGTTGGCTCAGTGAATAAACTTTCTGAAAGTCTTATTGGAACCGATCACCCAGATGCCCAACAGATTATAGTTCACCAAGACACTCTCAACACCACATGGAATGATTTGGCTGATTTAGTTGAGAAGCAGAAGAGTCAACTTGAGACTGCCTATCAATACAATCAATTCTTGATTGAATGCCAAGAGACTGCTAATTGGATCAAAGAGAAGGAACAGTTGATTGAATCAACTGATGAACTTGGAAATGATCTTGAGGGTATAATGCAACTCCAAAGGCGTCTTAGTGGACTTCAACGTGATTTACAAGCTATCCAGGCTAAGATTGAGCATCTGGATGAACAGGCCGACATTCTTGATGCTGCTAAACCCGAAGCTGCTGAGGTGATTCGTGCTGAGAGGAAGAAGATTCATGATTTGTGGGATGAGCTCAAGGAGATGCTTAAGGAACGTGATGATCGTCTCAATGATTCCAGCGAACTTCAACGCTTCTTGCAAGATCTTGATCACTTCCAAGTCTGGCTGCGTAAGGCTCAAACCACTGTTGCTTCTGAAGATGTTCCTAACACACTTCCTGTAAGTCTTGTTTCAGATTGATTTAACTCATCTGTTCTGGAAATTCTATTGTTTATTTTCTCTCTTCTAGGAAGCTGAGAAGCTGTTGCAAGACCACGAGCAGTTTAAGCCTGAGATTGATGGCTATGAAGATGACTTCAAGCGTCTTATGGAAATGGGACGCAAAGTTGTGGAGAACCAAACTGATCCCCAATACCTCTTCCTTTCTGAACGACTTGATGGTATTGAAGAGAACTGGGTCGCTTTGCACAAAATGTATGAGGATCGTGACAAGGTCCTCAAACAGGATGTTGAAGCTCAATCATTCTTCCGTGATGCAACTCTTATTGACAAGCTCATTAACAAACAGGAGTCCCTCATTGCTAAGGAAGTTGCTGTAGGTTTTGCCTCGTCTCTGTTTTTTTATAGTGGTTTGGAGTAAATGCTTGATTTTTTTGTTTTTTTTTATAGCCTACTCCTGAGTCTGTTGAAGAGGCTGTTCGTAATTTGAATACCTTCCAATCTGCAATGCCAGCAAATGAAGAAAAGATCGTTCAAGTTATTGCTGCTGGTCGTGATTTGGCTAGCCGTGGTGTTTTCCCAGCCGATAAGATCTTAACCAAGTGTGACCAACTTGATCAGAAGTAGGCATCTTTTTAGACTTCTCATCTTGTTTTATCGACCTTTTAACTCATCCCGGTGTCTTATTTTTAGACTTCAATCCATCAAGGATAAGGCTGTTGACCGTGAGGCTAAATTAGCTCAACAATCTAGACTTCAAGGTTTCGTACAAGACGTCGATGATGTAAGTTGACTTATTATCAAGTATGCCTTACATTTCCCATGCCCTTTACCAAAATGAAATATTTCGTTTCACCGCTTACTCTTTCAGATGGACTATCAGGTATATTTTATTATTAATTTAATCCATCGCCTTCCTAATAATTAAACATTAATGTCAGTTAAGTATTAAATTGCTATATGAAGTGGCATTAACTTGCATCTTTTCAGTGCAAAATAAAATATTGTAATAAAAGCTCGCGACTTTTGAGAACTGAAAGTTTTCAGTTACTCTACTAATATGAATGATGCGAAATTACAATTTTAAGTGCATAAACCAGGCTCCCTAACCTTAAAAATATTCATTTGATGATGTTCCTCTTGTACAAAAACTAATACTTGGACTCGTATCTTAGGTTGAAGAATGGATTTCGGAGAAGGCTATCATGGCTCAACAAGCTCCTCCACTACTTAGCGCTGTTGGTATTGCAGCCATATATGGCAAATTCAAAACCTTTGAGAGTGAATTGGATGCTAACAAGGATAAAATTGAAAAAGTTATTTTTGAAGGTGAGCAGCTGATGACTGAGGAACCACAACTTGTTGAACAGATTGAACCCCGCATGGAGGTTCTGCGGCGCCAATGGGTAGATCTCAACAATCAAGCCCAAGAACAGAGTGCCAAGCTTGCTGATTCTAATCGCGAGGCCCTCTTTGGTGAAACTGCAAAGTCTATGCTCACTTGGATCACTGAGGTTTCCTCTCAAATTGTCACTACTACTGAAGAAGTCACTGAAGAAGTTGGTCTTGTTGAACTCAATGAGCAGATCAAGGATCAAGAGAAGAAGGAGCAAGAATTGATGGCCAAACGCAAGATGCTCGAAGACATGGCTGTAAGTAATTATCGTTTATAAGAATCAAATTTGCAAAATTTTGCACTGGTAGTGTAGAAAGCATTGAACTTAATGGTAGGCTTTTGATTTAGAGCCCTTAAGTTATTGATTTAAAGCATTTGAGGAAATTCCTTTCGATAAAAGCTTAGTTTGAAGGATGCGCAATAGGTTTTTTATTTCCTGTGAGTGTAATTATGCCATCAAAAGGAATTAGATTTGGCTTGGAATCTTTTGTTAATATTGAGTGGTAATGTTAGATCAACTTCGCTACTTAGGGTTTGAGCTTTGTAATATGCGACTTGGTAGGTTATTACGTTGTCCTGTTTTCATGCATCAGTTTATAATTGCCTGTTCTGATTTCTTTAGAACCATGCTGAGAAGTTGAAGGAGCAATATCCAGACAGAAAGGATGAATTCGAGCAGGTTCACCAGGAAGTACGCATCCGTCTTATGGAGCTGGAAGGTCCAATGGCTAATCGTCGTGAGAGACTTATGAAACAGAAACGCGTGCGTCAGTTCTTCCGTGACTTGGAGGATGAGAAGGATTGGATTCGCGAGAAGCTTGCTCTCATTCAAGACCAAGGCAAGATGGCCACTAGCCTCTTGGCTAATCAACAAATGCAACGTAGGCACAAGATGCTTACTAACGAGGTTGAAAACCATGAACCTCGAATTAATGCTGTGTGTCAACAGGGAGAGGAAATGATTGGTGAAGGTCATCCGCATAGTGAGAAGTTCCGAGAGGGTATTGATGAGGTCCACGCTCTTTGGGCTGAACTCAAACAAGCTTTGGCTGATAGACAAGCTGCTCTAGTCCAGAACGAGGTTGCTCAACAATACCTCTTTGATGCTAGCGAGGCGGAAGCTTGGATGGG